GCTATAAGACAGAGGCTGAGGCTGAGGCAGAGAAAAGCTGCGAGAGATATTCTGAGAGAGAGTGCTGAGAGAGATACTGTGTAACACTCTGGTGCCTAGAAAATGGCTTCATCGTCTTCCCGCGGGCTGCTCACTCTCTTTCCCGACCTCAACGAGTCAACAGGAGAGAGAAAAGGTGCGGTGGCACTGGAAACTCAACCAAGCGCCCCGGAGTTTGCTCCGTTGAACTTTCCGATGCGGGCGGTGGAGCAAAGAATGGCAGTACAGTCGGATGTGGAGGCCAATCAGTATACTTTGAAGGCATGTGTGGAAAGCATGACGGCGGTCACAAAAGACTCACAATGAAACTCAGAGATATTATTGTTTGTAAAAACAGAGGGAAATAAATGCTTAAGTAATAGAAACAATAGGTGCCCAAGACACTGATGCCACAGCCACAGGTCTTCCTTGGTGGTTGGAAACTTGATGGAATGATGGGCCAACTTGATGGGAGGATGTGCTAGCTTGTCTGCCTGATCTAGGATATAGAGGCCATGTTCTACTCTACCACTGCCAATCATCTTCCTCGTGATAAGGTCTTGAAACAGATAATGATCAGGAAATAAAGTCTTACTACAGTTTTGGTTATGAGTAAGACGACTCAATGACAAAAGGTTAATAGAGAAATTGAGGACATGCAAAGCAGAAGATAATGGTAGAGAAAGAGTGGCATAGATTAAACCTTTCTCAGAAATAGAAAAAATAGTACCATTAACAATCCTAACTTTGTTCTGATCTAAAGAAGGCTTATATTTTGAGAACAGATCGAAAGACCCAGACATCTAATCTAAGACACCATAATTAATAATCTAAGGTAAAGACTGATGAGTTAGGAAAGCACTCGGAGAAGTGGCTAAGTTACTTGAATGGGCAAAATACAAAGGGGATGTACTTGATGGAGTAGTAGAATAATGACAATCCAACAGGTGGCGCAAAGCATCCTCTAACTCAAAAGAAGACATACCAGATATATCACCACTAGGAGGAGCAACTGAAAAGGCGTTAGGAGTATCTACTGCATTGGTATGATGTGCATGTGGATTAAACCCGTGCCCTCGAGACCGTCCGGAGCAACCCCCACGACTACCAGAATGGTCACCACGACCATTAGAAGGAATCCCATGAAGCTTCCAACAAGTCTCACAGGTATGTCTCGACTGGCCGCAATAATCACAGAACAGTGTATCCTTCTTTGAAGGACTAGGTGAAGTACAAGACAGACTAGTACCATCCCTAGGAGGAGCAGAAAGTAAGGTTGAGCGCTCTGTAGAGGTAGGTGGCAGCATAGCAAAACGACAACTCTCCTCATTCTGTACATAAGCAAAAGCCTCCTGAAGGGAAGAAAGAACATCCATACCAACGACACAACTCCTAATAGCATCAAAATCTATGTGGAGACCTTCCAAAAATTTGAAGACCCTTTCTTGTTCAATAAACTTCTGGTAACCCACTAAATCAGTTGTGCAAAGAGGCTTATAATCCTGTAGATGATCAAGACGTTTCCAACCATTGTTAAGAAAAGTGAAGTATTAAAGGACAACCATCTCCTCTTGTACTGAGCACTCAATAGAACAATACAACTCAAAAGTCTATGAGAAATTTTTCTTCCAGGAATAGGTAGTGGCCATAGCGTCCTAAATATCCTGAGCGGTATCCATAGATAAGTAGTGTAAGAATTTATGTAATTTATGTATGTATTATTGATTGATGTAGATATATTACAATTGATTGTGGTGTGAATTATAGATGGTGAGGTACTAATTATATAGGAGAGGATTGGGGAGTAGGTGAGTGTGTGTGGTAGGTGAGTTGAGTGGAGGTGGTAGGTGATGATATAGTATGGTAAATTCTAACAAGTAGCCTTCCCCTATATCAGGTACCATGGAATGAATGAGCCATATCATAATTAAAAATTGGTAATCTCCCATTGGTTATTACCAGGATCAGTGATTTCTAATGCCTTGATCCTCCTATCAACATAACCAATCTCCTCTCTACTTTTCAAGAAAAGTGTCAGACACTGTGACGAAGCAAGATAGTTCTGACCATTAAACAAAATGGTGGTGATTTTTAGGCTGGAGTTTAGGTTTTCGGATGTAGTAGTCATAATGGGACTCTTCCCTCTAGGTGGCTGAGAAGTAGTGGTGGATTCACTAGTAAGGTCAGCCAGTTATACTCTACAAACCGAATAACAACTTCCACTAATCACGAATACTGGAAGAGGGAATAAAATCAATTGGACCAAGCAATATCAATTACAGACCATGATAGGAGCATACCAATCAGTTAAAGCTGGGTAATAGGGCCATATAATGACCCAAAAAATAAATAAACTAAATGGAAAAGAAACCTCCAATCAAAACAAGAGCTAAGCTATTCTCAAATAAGGAAAAACCTTGCTAGGCTTGAGGAACATTGGTGAGATGAACCAATCAAAACAGGAAGTGGGTCAAAGAAGCCTTAGAGTGGCTGTCGGCTGAAGCCGAAATAGGTTGGGAGCTTTCGGCTTGGGCTGAAACAGGCCAAGGAGCTTTCGGCTTGAGCCGAACAAGAAACAGGGACTGTCGGTTGGTCTTGGGTGCTCACTAGTGACTATCACAGGCCCTGGACACAGCAGAGAGGGTCAAAACACAACGGGCAACAGTTAGGTGGTGATGGGTGAAGGTGGAGAATGAGATGGTAACCCTAAAGCTTTGTTACCATGTTTGTTTGAGAGAGAAAAATTGAGGGAATAATTAGACAATCATCTGCTTTTATATTGATAATAGGTGACTTACAATGGAAGCCTTGGAGGCACAAATAAGGAAATAATAGAATAAAGAAATAATAGTTAATAGAATAATCAATACACAATAACCAAAGATATTATTCTAACAAATGATTTAGTGTATCCCAAATTCCATGGAAGCTACAATGTAGATGTGTTTGAAGAATGGTTGAATAAAATTGAGGGTCATTTAGAGTGTTATGATGTGCCGGAAGCAAGAAAGGTGAAATTGGTCTCTCAAAGTCTCAAAAGGTCGTGCCTCCGATTGGTGGAAACAATTACAAATTGGTAGGCAAAGAAAAGGTCAAGAAAAGGTTAGAGGCTGGAGGAAGAAGCTCAAGGAGCACTTCTTGCCTTCTAATCATGTGTCACCTTTGTTGGTTGAGAAGCAACAAAAGAAAGGCATCTTAAGTTCTGGACATCAATACCAAATCGGCTTTGCACTTGGACAACCAACCTATGACTATGTCCAAGTTGGTTCTTCAACTAGTGTTGGAGCGCAAGAGACTTTTGATGAGGGATATCATCATTAGATGCTCTTTAGTGATGGGGTAGTTGAACTGAGATATGATGAAAAAGAAGCTTCTAACTTCGGTGAAGAAGACATGGAGGGAAATTGGGGCTAAGAACAAGATTGTGGTCAAGCTCTTTTCATTTGTGACGAAGATTTTCCCATCTTTGATCAAGATGAGGAGCAAGACTACGATCATGATGTTGCCATCTTTGACGACAATAGTGATGCGTTGGCTTATGAGGAAGTGGATGCTTGTGAATATGAAGAAGTTGATGTTTGTGAGTACGAATTATGATGATGAAGACGACCTTCTTGTAGAGAGTGAAGGTGTACACAAGGATGAAGAAATATTGCTTCCCGTGAAGGAAGTGGTTTCAATCCCACCTTCTATCCCCTCTCTATATTCTATGAAAATTATGATGGAAAGTTATGAAATTGAAGTTACATGGTTGTTGAATGAACTTTGCTTCCACGAAATGCCTCTTATGCTATCTCCAAAGCCATTTGTTCCACTTTGTGTTAGTGTATATGAGTTTATTCTTGGCCCATGCAAGAAGTGTTATTTTGATGACATCTTGCTTCCAAAACGGCATGCTACATGGGTGGCCTATTCACACCTCAACATGGCTTCGGTTGATGTCCGTAAACAAGAACTCGTTTTGATGGAAGGATATTTGCTGGAATGATCTTGAATAAGGACTTGCAACTACTTAGTCTTGTTTGCTGTTGCATGTCCATCGTGCTTCCATAAGTCATTGTTTTGAGTCACTTTGTTGATTTTATTGTCTAGAGTCATTTTGTTGATTTTATTGTCTTGAGTCATTTTGTTGTAGGCCTAACTTGAGAACAAGTTGTTTCCTTTAGAGGGGGAGTTTGATGTAGTTAGAACTAGTATGGTTGTTAAGTTTAGCACCATAAGAGTTAGTTAGAGTTAGTTGGGTCTTTTATCCTATAAATAGGTGGTTAAGCCTCTCTGGTAGGCAGTTGATGATATTTTGATATTGAATATAGCTCTTGTACCCATTTTGGGATTTTCTCTCTCCAATGAAATCTCTTTCTTGATTGGCTCCGTCAGTTGGAATGCAATGCAAGAGTTTTTAAGGACACTAATGTTGTATGGGATAGAACGTGTTATTTATCATCTCAAAATATATTTCAGTTTTGTTTTGAATTTGAGTTTAGTTCAAGTAATTATAGACCTTGGTTTCCAATGGGAGGTTTGGGGTTCGCGATAAATTTAGCTTACTTGAAAGTTGATACTAACTTGATAACTATTTATTGTTCACAAAATTCTAACAATTTTCTTCCTGTACAAAATTCAGATTCACGAACAGTTTTTAGCGTTGGAAACTAGACTCACAGAGCTTTCAGAAGCCAAAACTTCCCTCTGATTTTATTTTCATGCATATTTATAGAAATTACAACGATACTAGTCAAAAGACTCAAAATAAATGCTAAACATATTTCTAAGCAGCACACAGCTTACTAGAGCATAATACAAGTTACAGGAGAGTCAAAATAGTTGGCAAAGAACACAACCCACTAGATACACCATACCTCCAACAAGAAGAATATAAATTTCTTGACACAAAAATAATTAGAATAAGAAATATGAAACTGTGCTTCTACATCTGTATTTGACAATTTGTTGCTTTTCAACTAACATTATTTTTTGTACAGGACTTTTTTATGGCCAGGTTTACTGGGAACGTGACATTGTATCAGCGAACTTCTTACTCAGAGATAATAGCAAGTTTGTGGCTCTCCCTGCGCCTTCAGGTATGTGTCAGACTCGGAATAACTACATCACAAAATAAAGTCGATATTATTTCTTGGACGTATATGTCAGATAGTTTTTGGTGTGAGCTCTAATGTTGAGACACACCACATATGTTATTTGGACTCTTCTATTTGCCCCAAAGTACCTGTATACACCAGGTATGACAAAGGTAAGGGTGTGAGATATGTGTCCGACACTAATTTAAACACTTGGGTTCTCTAATTTTTTACAATGTTTGAAGAAGATGAAACTAATATTTGTTAGTAAAGAAACATTTCTAGACTCTTACATGGACGAGAGATAAAAATTTCATATTTTCTTTAAATTATATTTAATTTGAAGTACATTTCTATATATGCATCTTATCTGATGTATATGTAAAATATATGTATATATGTGTGTGTGTGTGTGTGTCCATGATGCATCCCTGTACCATATCTAACTTTTGGATACGTATTCCAGTATCTAAAATCTAGGTTTTTGAAACCCAAGTCCACGTAACATAGCACACCACCACTTTTTCTTTGTGGTGTCATACAATTTTTTCAACTTTCTGTAATTCTTAGTAACCAGTGAATAATTGTAGTTGTTAGCAGCATTTGTTATCTCATTTGTTGCTGTGATGGCTGTTGTTGGATCTCAAGATAAATTTCCTATTAGTATGGGTAGCCCTGGGCTGGTAAGTTTTCTCAAGCCCTATATTATTCTAGCATTTGTGACATGAACAAACTTATTTATTATTCCATCATCTACCCGAAAATTATGTGATGGCTTGTTTGTCAACAGGTAGGCTTGGCTCTTTCTTATGCAGCCCCAGTTGTGGCTTTGTTAGGAAGTTTTTTAACAAGTTTCACTGAAACAGAGAAGGAAATGGTATCTGTTGAGAGAGTTCTTCAGGTATGAAGATTGAAAGTAACTCTAAAAATATATTTTCCACAGATAATTAACATTTTGATTTTCTCATTCTAGTATATGGACATCCCTCGAGAAGAACTAGATGGATGCCAACAATTAGAACCAGATTGGCCACTTCAAGGACAGATTGAGTTTCAAAATGTAACTCTGAGATATATGCCATCTTTGCCCGCTGCATTGAAAGATGTCAGTTTTGTCATTGCTGGGGGCATGCAGGTCAGTGCGTCTGTTGCCTACATGTTCTTTGGGTAATTTTATTTGTACACCACCTATATTCTCAATTCACACCATTTTTCTATTAGGATATTAACTTCCGAACAAAATCAATTGTTCAGGTATTAACTTTGGAACAAAAACTAATTGTTCGAACAAAAACCCTGTTCAATAGTTGATATCTGAATAATTGGTTTTTGTTCAGAAGTTGATATTTGAACAATTGATTTGTTGATATTTGAACAATTGATTTTTGTTCCAAACGACACAAAATGGAGTGAATTGAGACAAAGTGTGGTGTGCAAATAGAATCTCCCATGTTATTTTTAAAAAAAAAAAATTCCCCCCCTTTTTCCTGAAAAATTTTGTACATTGACAATGGATCTCTTGAACTATAAATCCTTCACAATTGTTGAAACTCTTAAAGCTTTAGGGTTAATTCATCTACAATTGTATTCAATCAGGTTGGAATTGTTGGAAGAACTGGGGCAGGAAAATCTAGTATCTTGAATGCCATTTTCCGCCTGAACCCGATATGTCAAGGATGTATTTTGGTGGATAGCATAAACATAGCTGATGTTCCTGTAAGATATCTTCGCTCCCATTTTGCTGTTGTTCCACAGAGTCCGTTCTTGTTTGAGGGAACCCTAAGGTATAGTCGATTGTCTATATAACTGCAATGTAAGCTTGATTATTACTTGTTCATTCAGCATAGAGTTGGGTGCAGTGCTTTTCCCCTGAAATAATACGACATTAACATCAGAAAGTACTATTAGTAATATTAACTACTACCTATCATAACAGAGCAATGCATGTATTTACGTATTGTGCTACTTTCCAGGACTAATCTAGATCCATTTCGGGCAAATGATGACTTCAAAATTTGGAAGGTTCTAGAAAAATGTCATGTCAAGGAAGAAGTTGAAGCATCCGGGGGACTAGACATTCACGTAAAAGAATCTGGAACATCATTTTCTGTTGGTCAACGACAGCTTCTTTGCCTTGCACGTGCACTTCTCAAGTCTTCTAAGGTGGGAGTTTAAAAAAACCACAAAAACCACACTCCCTCACGTAGTACTGACAGTACTAAAACATTTTCAGGTACTTTGTCTGGATGAATGCACAGCCAATGTAGACACTCAAACAGCTTCAAAACTACAGAACGCCATAGCCAGTGAATGCAGGGGCATGACAGTGATCACAATTGCTCACCGCATTTCCACAGTTTTGAACATGGACAATATCCTGATTCTTGATCAAGGGATCCTGGTATGTTTATCATTTCTACAACTTTACCTCTGGGCCGTTGATATTTAAAAAAAATAAAAACATAAACTAAAGCCTGTGTTACATGGACTCGCCACTTTGGGGCGAAGTACCCGTGTCGACATGACACGACACGACACAGGTGCGGGTGTGGGATCTGTGTTGGATTCGCCTATTCTCTCTCGGACACGGCTCTTTACAGTGCAAAAGAAATGAAAGAGGTGAGAGCAAGAGAGAACCTGGTCGAACCAGTCGATCCAGTCGAAGATCGAAGACCTCGATTGAGCTCCATCCTTTCGATCCAGTCGAAGATCGCGGCTCCATCAGTCGATCGAACAGCCGAACACCCAGACGACTTCAAAAAGCCTCTCTCTCTCTCTCTCTCTCCCTCTCCCTCGCGCTCGCGATCGTGATCGCGATCGCGATGGATGGCTTCGTTTTTCTCTCCCTCTGTCTCTGTCGTTCGTCTCTGTTGATTCTCTATTCGTATCTATCTATATATAATAATAATAATAATAGTTTATGTATAATAATAATAATAGTTAAGGAACTGAATAATAAATAATAATGACTATTATTATGATAACTATAATAATAACTATTATTATTATATATTACATAATAATTATTATATAACATATAATATATTTATAAGATAATATATACTTATATACATTAATAAAAAAAATAAAAAAAAAATTAATTGAAACACATTATTTAAAAAATAGAATAAATAAATAAAATAATTAATGTATATTAAAATAAAAATATTTATAAAGAAATTAAAAAATTTCCCGTGCCTCCTGTCGTGTCCGTATCCCCATTTTTCAAAAATTATCGTGTCCTGTGTCCGCGTTATAATAAATATATTTTTTTAAAAAAAAACTATTTAACGTATCCCCGTACCCATATCCAAATTTGGATACATATTTACGTATCCTTAATTTTTAATTTTGAAGTGTCCGATCCCTAGATACGCACCCGCACCCGATACCCGTACCCGAGTCCGTGTAACTTAGACTAAAGCTTTGAGGGATTGTTGGTATTCTGGTAGATCTCTGATTATACCATGCTCTAGTAATGCAGAAAACATAGCTGCAAATATAAATGGAGTTTCATAGTTGAAATTTCATGTCTCCTTGAACTAATTCCTTTCTAAAAATTAAGTAGCATTCAACTATAGTTCCAGAACTAGACTTTGAATTGTGAACACCATCATCAAACCCTAGTTTGTAACACCATTTAGACAATTGGCATTCATATGTCGCTGTACTCAGCTCTAAAGTAGATCTCTTCGGAGACAGTAGCTCTATTTTGGAGATACGCAAGGTGGTGGTTTGTACCAAAACTGATTTCTTCGATGAGTGGGCACAGATTGAGGAGCTATGTCGGTCTTTTAAAACTAATATTTCTTTGAGGCCTTTTCACTTAAACAAAGCTCTATTTGTTGTAAAAAGCATTGACGAGGCAGATTATTATGATAGTCAGGGACTGTGCTTCTTTGGTAAGAGCATTGCAGTAAGTTTGGAAAGATGGTCGGCTGAAAAACATAGTAGGGCTAATGTCATTGCTTCAAATGGAGGATGGGTCTCAGTCTGTGATCTGCCTTTTAGTCTCTGGAATAACAAGGTTTTTGAATGGATTGGGATGAAGTGCGGAGGTCTGTTGAAGGTGGATAATAGAACCAGGACTTTCGGAAATCTTTTTGAGGCAAGATTGGAAGTCAGAGGTCTTCGTAATGGGTTCTTACTTGCGACTATTGATGTTCAAATGGATGGAAGTTCTGCTGTTGTTCGATTAAAGGCATTAACAAAGTTTTTTGGTAGACGGGAGGTTCAACGGCAGTGGTGGTGCCGACCAGATTCAGGCGATTCCAGTATCGGCGAGAAGGGAGGCGAGGGGTCTCAAGAGATAGCCAAGACACGTGGCCGAATGGAGGTGAGAAGTCAGGCTGGTGGCTTGAACGAGGTGGAAGACGGCAATGGCGGAAGAGGAAGAGACGAAAGGGACAGGTCGTTACATTGTTTGATTAAAGTTGGCCTGGCCACACTGTGGGCTCAGCCCATGTTTTGGTTAATACAAATAATCAGATTAATATTGGGGTACAGGATCAGTTTGGGCTAAATGATTTTCACAGCTTTAAGGACCGCGGCCTAGATCTTCATGAGGGCCCAAATGCGTTTTGTTTCTTTAAGGACAATGGCCCAAGTTTTATGGAAGGTTTAAGGGCCTGTGCTTCCAACCCGATGGGGGTTTCAGGGTTGGGTTTGGGTGGGCAGGACAACTCGATTCATTTGGTCTCGCGGGTTAAAGATACTGAGTCTATCGGTGTCGAAAAGCCTAGATGATTTTCAAAGATTGGCTCCATCAGTATCTCTCTCTTTCGACGCATCAGATCTAGTCGAGTGCACTCATCCTAGGCAGTCCATCATTCGTGATGACCTTAGCACAGAAGAGGCACATTTAGGGCTGTCCAATATTGTGGATAGATCCTGTAAGGATTTTCTGAGATAAATGTTATGGATGAGGACTTGGTGGAGATTAATTTGGCTTCGTAAAAATTGGTTCAAGACTTGGAAGAGAGTCGATTCAAACCGCATGAGGTATTGCAAGCTTTGGATGAATATGGATCATCTGAGAGCTCTGATTCACATTTTGAAGAGGAAAGTATAGCGGATGAGCCTGAGGATTAGGATTAGGATCTCAATAACCTTTTCAATGCTGATGGTACTACTGATGGTGAGGATTTCAAAAGGGTTTCTGAATCTCTGAATCAAGTCAGTCCTTTATTTAACCAAGTTTTATCATTTTCATCTGCACTGAAAAGGGTACAAGCCATTCTAGTTTTTTCTAATTCTGGGAAAGGGGCTAAGGATGGGGATTCATTGTTTCATTCGTCTAGGCCAATTTGTCATATTCTTCAGATCTCCTCAGGTGATGTTTAGGCAAGGGGTTACCTCTGATATTTCAACGGCCATTGTGAATGGGTCTATTGTTGTGTCTGAGTCCTTACAAGCTAATGGTATTCAAGATCATGTGAATGACAATCAGGGAGGGATCTCAGATAATCATGTTGACAAGGGGGGTTAGGTTTTTAGTAATAGGGATGAAGAAACGGAGAGTTTGTTGAAGGAATAAAGTAAGTATGAGACTTGTCCAACTGGGGACGAGGAGGTGCCTGAGGAGGTGCCTCATTTTATGCAATTACTTCAAGTTATGGGCTTGTCATTAGTTAAAATAGAGGGGACTTCAGGATCTTTTAGTAAAGATATTAGGTTCATAAGGGAAAAAGATGGTAGAAAGGTAGGTGAAAGTAGCAAAAAAGAGGCAAGGGAACTTAGGAATTTAGTAAGTTCGGTTAATTATGAGAGGCGTTAGGAAGTATTTAGGGTGAACATGTCTCCCAATGAAGATCATTAGTTGGAATGTGAGGGGGTTGGGCACTCGGAGAAAGAGGGGTGTTATTAGGCGTCATCAACCGGACATAGTTGTTTTTCAGGAATCTAAAGTAGAAGTGTGTGATAAGAGGTTCATGAAGAGTCTTTGGGAAGTTAGACATAGGAGTTGGGTTTGTTTGTCTTCAATTGGTAGAGTGGGGGGCATTTTGGTGATATGGGATGAAAGAGTTGTTTCTCATTGTGAAACTTTAGTGGGGGAGTTCTCACTATCAGTTAGGTTTAGAAATCTTGACAATACAGAGTGGTGGTTAACAAGGGTTTATGGTCCTAACAGACCGTCTAGGAGAAAGGATTTGTGGGAGGAGTTATATGGGTTATCTGGGTTGTGTTCCCCTAATTAGTGTTTAGGGGGAGATTTTAATGTGGTTAGGAAGAGCTCAGAAAAACTCAATGGGATCAGAACCACTAGGGGCATGAAGGACTTTGATTTGTTTATCACAGATTGTAAGTTGGTGGATCCTCCTTTGTGCAACACTAGATTTACTTGGTCTAATTTACAAGAAAATTTGGTGTGTTGTAGACTGGATAGATTTTTGTTTTCCTTGGGATGGGAAGGTTTTTTCCCCAATTTAAGACAAGAATCACTACCGAGATTAACTTCAGATCGTTGTCCTATTATGATAGAAAGTTGCCCTTTAAAGTGGGACCCAATGCCTTTTAGATTCGAAAATATGTGGTTGGAACATCCATCTTTTCACAGAAAGTTTGAGGAATGGTGGACCAATGCTAATTGTTATGGATGAGAGGGTTTTAAGTTTATGAAAAAGTTGAAAATGGTCAAGCAGAATGTGAAGTGTTGGAATAAGGAGGTTTTTGGGAATTTAGAGCTTTCAAAGAAAAAGGTGATGAGCAGAATCGAAGAGTTAGATGTATTAGAGATGCAGGGGGGTTTTGCTGAATCCTTTAGAAGGGACCAATCTCTGTTGAGATTGAAATTGGAAGAGTTGGTTTTTAGGAAGCAAATCTCTTGGTCTCAAAAAGGGAAGGTTAAATGGTTGAAGGAAGGTGATATGAACTCAAGATTTTTTCACATGGTAGCAGGTGTGAAAAGAAAGAAGTTCATTAAGAGATTAGAAGTAAGCCCAGGGGTAGTAGTGGAACAGGTGAATCAGATTGTCAATGGAATTTATGGTTTTTATTCTACGCTTTATTCGAAGGAGGAGATGAATAGACCAGAGATTGAAGGACTTGAATGGGGACCTATTGATCAAGCAGTTGCAACCTGGCTTGAAAGGCCATTTGATGAGACGGAAATTCGGGAGGCAGTTTTCGAGTGTGAGAGAGACAAAGCTCCAGGTCCAGACAGTTTTTCCATGGCTGTCTTTCAGGACTGTTGGGAGGTGGTGAAAAAGGATTTGTTGGGAGTTTTTTTAGAATTTCATAAGTCGGGGGTTGTTAATTTGTTTGAGCTCAAATGCCACATTCATTTGTTTGATTCCTAAGAAAGTGAATGCGGTAAGAATTAGAGATTTTAGACCTATCAATTTGGTCACATCACTTTATAAGATTTTGGGAAAGGTTTTATCAAAGAGACTCAGAATCTCC